TATTAATTGCCATAGCTATTAACATTTGCTATTAAACTAACCTATATTACTTCTGCTACTTTAGTAATACCTTGATCTTCCACTAAACTTTATAAGATTGATTTAAGCGAAATTTCATTTGCTATGGATTTTATTAAAAGTATTTTATCCATTTTACGACTTTTAGGAGATTTGCTTATGCTTATTTGGCACTTATATTCACAGAGTATTCTTATTTAGTTATAGTTATTCCTTTTCTCTATCTCTAGCCTTATGCAAATCTTCCCGCGATCTGCGCAAACCTCCAGTAGACTCATCAACCTCCCGTCGAGTCGTATACACTTGCGACTCTGAAAAACAGCCTAGCTCTACAAGCAAGCATTCACTCGTCTCTATCGTCGCTTCAAACGCTTCCAGTACAACCTCCGATCAAGTTGTAACTACTACTGTATCCAAGTCTGAAGCCAGTGGCAATTCCAACAGAACTGGTGACCGTATTTCCGGTTTGGTAGGGACTAGCATTATGGCCAGCAAGATTGTCTCATCTACCGTTTCAACCTCTTCTTTAACCTTGAGACCACAAGGCAAACGACGACGGTCCAGTAAAGATGCAGAGTCCTCAGCAGCAAATGAGATCTCAAGCCATGTTAGTGGGAAGCCTGTTTTGATCAATGATCCCGATAAGGAGCGAATACTTAAATATCAAGTGTGTTTTTTACAACAACACTTCTTAAAATTCCCCTAAATTTCGATGGAATTCATGATGGGTATTTTTCGATTTTATCAGAAAATATTGAATTAGAACTATAGTTATTCTAGGTGGCATTATGGGATAAAGTACTGGTAGTCCAATTTTCCGACAATGATACAATTAGACCTCACAATGTCATTGAACTTGATATCTTCTTACCTCCCACAGGTTGCTCTCATCCGGAGTAGTTTTAAACTCACGTGCGCCTCATCAGCACCCTTAACGATAATTTAACTCAAGTAGTGCGGCATTTTTTTCGACATGTTGCCTTTACTCCACAGTGCCTCGAGGATCATTTGGTCAAAGGACAGACTTGAATTTAAAGGCAATCCAGGCTTCTCCCATATTAAACGACATTGGTTGACTATAATTTTTAATCAAAATATGCTGATAGTCTCACAAATCTACTCATTGCGAATACAATTAATGCTATAACAGCAATTAGATGCTTGCTTTTTTGAAATCCCACTATAAAATATGATAGGGAAGACGCCTGGCTTGCTTTGAAAGTCAATTCTGTCACCTGGCTCGTTGGCATCAGTCACATTATGGTGTAGGGGCAAAATGGCGAAACTAAATGTTGGCTAATTATAATTTAACTTTGTTTTTTTATGTTATATGT